GAAGCACAGAGTAGAAGCAGAGAGGCAGGCCAAATGCCTCAACATAAATCTTTTGGGGAAGGTTCAGAGAAGTTTGGGTTATCTGCCTTCAAATGGGTTTTCAAAGCGGTATAGATCTAGACATCCAGGAGGACTCAAGGAAGGAGGATCCAAGCTTTAAATTTAGGAAAATAATCATTTTACCTTGCACAGGCACAAAAACTCAGACAAGCATTGCCAGGAAGGCGAATTTCTCTTCTGCCGTGGAAGGAGGTGCAGCCAAAGAATTTCAGCCTCACCCATGGAAAATTAGCTATTTATTTTGCATAAATCCCACAAAACGTTTTCCGCCCAGCTAGTGCTCCTACCTGCTGGTTTAACAGCAGCAGAGCTAAGGGCTGTGCTGCAGGATGGCAAGTGGCCAGCCACCCATTCCTGTGTCACTTCAGAGACCAGGGGGGTAGGTCTGCTCATTAAAGACGCTGGGTTACTGCAAGGCAAGGACAGAGGCTGTTGTGTCTCTGGGGCTCCCAGGGTCACCAGAGCCACTGCTGCCAGGGAAACGCTTTCATACAATTCTTACCAGCAAAGTCTGTCCCAAATTTAGGGATGCACCTTACCACATCCTGCCTGTCAGCCGTCCCCATCGCTGCAACACACATCGGAAAAGAGAGAGAAGAAAGAACATCACCTCCTGACTTGCTGGCTGGATTGGGAAAGCACTGAGGGATCCCCCTCTTTCTGCCCAAAAATGAGTAAGTAAAACCACATCACACCATTGCATCTGTTCCTACACACTGGCTGGCCAAAATCAGAGCCTGGAGACTGTATTTCAGATTTCTAGCCCAAAGCAGGCTAGGAAACAACAGAAACATGAACGTGACTCCTGCCTGGGGTGCAAACCTTCAGCGATGCTCTGAGGGCCCCACCACTCCAGGACTTCCTGGCACCAAGCCTCACCGACATCCCTGGGAGCCTCCCAATCATCCCTCTTGATCCCCCTTCCCCGGGAATACTTGAATTTTCCGTGGTCTTCCATGAGAGTTACCCTGCAGTGCAAGGCCTCACAATATCAACATACTGTTAGGCTGCAAAGATACATTTCCCAGGGACCACTTACGCCGTTTCCCTGACAAACAGCACTATCTTTATCACGTTAGAACATATTTGTATTGATTTTCAAAAAAGACTGACTGGTCCCTAAACACCCATATGCCTCTACCAGGGAACGTCCTATATGTTGGCACATATAGGACCATTATGTTTACCCAAGTTTAAATCCATACTTGCATCAAAGGGAAGCATACAGGATGTTTTATTGAAAAAGTTTCAACATGCCAAGAATTGGCAAAAAATGCAGCTAGATGAGCGCTGATGTAACAGTATGCAAAGACTATGTGTTTTAACCTTATTTTTATATAGCCAAGTGTGGCTTGCTAGCAGCTCTTGCATGTGCTTAAATAACAGCACATGTTGAAAGCAAACATTGCTTTGTCACCAAGTTATTTCAATATCCTTGCGTAGTCATCTTAGCAGCCTACAAACTTACCTAACAATAAGACCAGTCTCAAACATTTCTGAATTTCTGACAAGCAAACATCAAATAATTGAAAGCTTCTCTTTTCAAACACATAGGTATCGTCAAACATTTTTCTTATAGTCGAGAACTTTTTAAGCTAACAACCTTCAAACTCCTCAAATTTGATTTGCCTAAATACATACAGCTTTAATATATACAGATGTGAGTTAAGCCATTCCCTTTACCGACGGTTTTCATCTTGCTTCACTGTTTTCCTGAAGTGTGGTGGAAAAAAACAGGAGAGAAAAAAAAAAAAAGAGGCAAGCAGGCTCCCACAGGACTCTAAAAATATGAGCTATTTCCCAAGCAGACAATCCACACCATCATTCAGAGTCAACTGAAATGATCTTTATAACCTTTCCCTTTCTCTTTACCCATCAGCAGATACTCCATTTCTATTTTATTTTTAAGATTACTTCTACATCTATACTTCCGCAGAAAAATAATATCAGAATAAAACTTAATTTCTTAAAGGGAAAAGATTTTTTTTATTAAACATTTCAATTTCTTCTAAAAACCTCACACCATAAGAAGAAATGAGCAGTAAGTAATGGAGAGTACAATGCCTTTTTGGTAGCCTGGATTAACAGAAAATCTGGATGGGGTATTGACATTTTACACAAGCACACACCACTGCGCACCGCTATCTTGTGAAATTATACATCATTGAAATAGGGTTCTGATTTGTCAACATTTCCAATAAGCTCCAAAGCCTGTGCAAGGGCAGTACAGCTTCCCACCCCACATCCCTCACTCCTTGGGTGAACCCTCCTCTCCCAGATACCAGCCCTGTCCTCCAGCACCAAGGCTGAAGCAGTAGGGACCATTACGCGTGGTAGACACTGGCATACGTGGGTCTCTGTGGTGTGGGAGAGGAGAGGGCAGAGCTGCAGCAAGAAGAGGAAGGAGACGAAGGCAGGATGAGGGCTAGTGCCACAGCACAGTCCCTCTGCTAGCACTGGATTTCCTTTTCTGAGCCACCTCAGCTCTGCACCCCTCTGCCTCCACGGAGATCAGGTACCCACTCCATCACCACAACCCCCTCTATCCCAGCAGCGAGGCTTTAAGGCATTAAAACAGACCTCAGACTCTCCTGGTAGGACAACACAGACTTTGTCTCTTGTCCACTTCCCACGTTTTCCTGTGTCAGAGGAAAACAGCTTTATACACTCAGGAAAAATGGCCACTTAAGCTTTCAAGAAGGACGAAAAAACAGCAATAAACTTTTGCATAGATTATTTTCATTCCTTTGAAATACTTTACATCTTTCTATTAAAAGGGAGTTTCCAAAATTGAACTCTGTCTTAACACTTTTACCCTTGTGCCTCCTTCTGCTGACCAGTATCACTACAGGGGTAGACAGCACGCACCCAGTGCCAGACATTTCACTGGCAAACAGAAGTTTCCCCATGACAAAACCAGTGGGACACCCCTGGCTTGTGGCTGCCTGCTCCCCAGAGAGCACCATTTTACACCCAGATGGGTACCAGGGAAACAATCCCATGGAGATCCAGCCTCTCCTGCTCACACACACATGGCATGCAGGATGCCAACGAGACAAGGTTGTGCCAGAGGTTTCCTTAATACCCTGTGTATCAAACACCCAGGTTCCCTACTGTATCGTTGCACAAGTTCATACATTGCAGCCTATACGTATATCTTCAACTAATTTAAACAACCTAATTAAGCTATCTTTCCATTATGCTGCATTTAGGTCCCAATTTAATCCGGCAAGCGCCGAATTCTCCACGTGAGAGCAACCCTCCTCCTCATTTCTCTTCCTTGCAGCTCCTTTTCATCTTTCACGTTGGTTCTCTGTGCAGCTTCCTTCACAGCTACAGAATCCACTACCTTGCTAAGAAACATCCCTTCCTAACAGTAATCCTCTTTGCAAATAGAATTAACAAGACAAATGCAAACACGAGAGCAATGAATTAGTTGTCATATTTGCCCAAACTGCTGCTTCCAGTTCCATATAATGAAATTCTGTATTAAAATACATAGGATGGCTTAATGTCAAGCTCCTCATTCGCTGAATTAGGCGGCTGGCCAGTAACACCCTGCAGCATCTCCCTCCAACCCAACTGAGAAATTATACTTAGGAGGGTTCTGGTAAAGGCTTAACTAATTTGTGCCAATATTAGTCACACCAAATTACTGTCATTTAATAACTGGAGAGCTTTCTACCCGGAGAACACTGCAAAGGAATGACATGTTTCTACAACAGACAACAACATAATATGTAAAGTTTATGGTAGTTTCTTCTGTTCAAACAAGTTAATTCATAAAGGTAGGGAACATTTAGTGCCTGCCAACTTCCTTCCCTTTGGAATCTGTCCTTTAGACACAATAATTATACCAGGAAACCTCCCTCCATAACCAGCTCATAGACACAAGAAAAAAGCAAAAACAGTTGTGACTAACAGAGTCATGCATGAAACACATTTTAGCACTGATACCACACACAAGGAGTACTTCTAAACACATATTCTTCACTTCAAATCTGCAGAAATAGTTTAGAAACATTCCTTTTGATGCCTTTGAAAATTAAAATGCACTTGCACTGAAGAAAAACAAAAAACCCACAGACAACAAAACCACCAACCTTCAATGAAAGAACTAAACACACCACAAAATTGCTTAAAAGCATATCACAGCAAGGCACATCTACTGCTTCCAGGAGGGTTTTCCCAAGGGCAGGCAGAGCTGATGCTTGTCTGATGGGATACATTACCTGGGGTACAATATAATCCGGCAAGGAAGACAAAGGAAAGAGAGAAGGATTTCTGCGGGGAAAAAAGGACAGCCAAACACTAAGAACTAGACTACTAAATCAGTGTGTTAGAACTCTGTTTTGGCATAAGCTACAGGAGGACAGCACTGACATTTTAGCAGAGGTTTTTCAATTGTGAAGTCCAAAAGATTAAACTGTCAAATGTAAGTCTGCCAGGAGTTTGCTTAAAGTACTTTACAGCAGCAGCGCTATTCCTAAGGTAAAACAAACCAGAATTACAGACACTGGCTACCTTGCATTGAGACCAGATACAAAAATTTACATGTTTTATTTTGTAGCAAACTGTCCTCTGTCACACATTATTACTCTTAATGCACTGCTACCCAAGTTTACATTCATCCATACCCGAGAGTAACCTGCGTCTGACTTCGTTCATCTGAGATCAGTGTTCAGTATCAAATGCAGCACAGACTACTGATAAAGGCAGAAATCTGCATCTAGTTAATCATCCTAATTGTTATGCCAACCACTTTAAAAGGCACTAATCAGTGTTATACACAGATGTAAAGTGCGTTCAGCAGTAGAAATCACCATCTAAACGCTTACCCAAACAAATTTCACATTTTAAGGGGAGACCGAAGCTCAGCACATTTTAGTTAAAAAATGAAAATGGAATTCAATGGTAGGAGACAGAACTTAGAGGCTCACCTTAGATCTTAAGCTAAATCAAATTTGATCTTTTCAAAGCATAAAACACACCACAGAAGGTCTACTCATCATCCTGCAGGCAATGGAGGCCAAGTGCCTGCTGTCTTTGCCAGGGCAGGCTCATACACTCAATTCCAGTCACCTCGCTGCAGGGTCTGCCCTTGTACCCTTGGAGACAGGCTTCCACAACCAGGACCTCCCTGAGGAGGCACAGCTAAACCAGGGTCCATCAGCAATCTCCGCAATGCTTTGGTCAATTTCTTCTGCCAGAGTTCTGCAGCCTCCCACTTGAAACATCCTCTGCGGAAGGTGAATGGACAGTGGCAAAGCCCACACCTCTGCCAGGCTAATAATTAACTCAACTGATGCCAGTGATGAAAGAAGTTGGTCACCTGGATAAATAGTCTGCTAGAGAAGAGTCAGAACAGTTTGTACAGAGAGAAACCCTGCTAACAAACCTTTCTGAGTTCAAAGGTGCCAAATATGGACAACATACACCCACTCCTCCTGATCTGTCTGAATTTCCAAAATGACTTCAATCAATAAAAACTAAGGGCTTTCTTAAGGAAACTGGGCAGACAGAGGTAAGAGGGAAGGTCCTTTGTGGAGAGATAGATGGCTGGAAAATAGAAACTGGGTAAGTCTAGGAATAAACAATCTCTTCCTGGACCAAACAGAAGTCACCGATGAAGTTCAGCAGTTCATGCTCAGACTTTGGCCGTTTGACACGTTCGTGTGAGACAAGGAAAGGGGAATGAACAACAAGTTGCAGAAGTTTGCTGATGATAAAAAAAAAACCAAAAGTATTGTGGTCCAGGATGTGAGGAATTCCAGACAGTCTGGGGAGACTGAGTCAATAACACTGCAGAGGAAAGTTAATGCAAATAAACACAAGGGACAAGCACATGGGAAAGACACAGCCATTGCTACACATAACCGAGGTATTCTAAACTGACCATACTCCTGAACAACATCTTGACATTACGATTGCACAGGTCCATGAAATGAAGTCCAGGATGTGAGGAATTCCAGACAGTCTGGGGAGACTGAGTCAATAACACTGCAGAGGAAAGTTAATGCAAATAAACACAAGGGACAAGCACATGGGAAAGACACAGCCATTGCTACACATAACCGAGGTATTCTAAACTGACCATACTCCTGAACAACATCTTGACATTACGATTGCACAGGTCCATGAAATTAACTCACTAGCAGTCCAAAACACAAATAAAAGTTACAAATCATTAGGAAAACAAACAAAAAATAGTAATGCCACTGTATAGCCCCAAAGCTGCCCTACCTGTTGAAAACTGATCCCTACATGCTGAAAAGCCCAGATCCTCTCATCCTAAAAGGGCACGTAGAACCAGGACAGACCCTTGAAAAGGGACGCCTGCAGTCAGGAATGCCTTCCCTACAAAGACTATCTGAGTAGGCAACTCTTCAGCAGGTAAGAAGCCAACTTGATGAGGAAGACAGAGGCTTACAAAGTCACGAGTGGCATAATGCAGGATCAGTAACCATCTCTGTCCCACAAGAGCTAAGAACCGCCAAATAAAGGAAGGCAGCCTAGAACAAGCAGGAGGAGGGAATTCTTTACACAGCCAGCAACAGACCCACAGAACAAGCAGCACTCCTGGCCAAAGGCCATGGAGGCTGCAAGAAGGTCCCAGGGGCCTCCGGACAGACCAGACAAGCATTTGGAACTGAAAGCCACCAAACATTTTGAAACAGGGAAAGGCTGCAATCAACTCTGGCAACCCCAAGCTGAGAACAACATCTATAGATGAGATAGCATCTATAGAGAAGGTTTTGAATAAGGTCATCCTGTTTTTATTCTTCCTTGGGCATCTGCTTAAAAGGAGAGAAAAAAGAAAAAAATTGAAAAAAAAGTTTGCAGAAGACAGCAGATCAAAAAGGGAGCAGGCTGAAGGTGAAGGGTTAAAAAAAAACCTAGAAAACTAAAGCAGGACCCCCCCCACAGCATCCCAACAGCACCCTCTGCTCCTTAAAGCTCTGAGGCAGCAGCAGTTAGTCTTCTGCCCAGAACTATGATGAGACAAGGAAAGAGAACCAGGCACAGAGGTGCTGGGATCCTGCCCATCAAGTCTGGAGCTGATCAGCCCATGGAGCTGTGGCTGGCTCAGACAGGGGCAGGAGGCAGCTGGCAAGAAGATCCTATTCTTTCATAGGGTGGCAGACAGGAAAACTATAAATCAAAAAAAAAAACCACTCATAAGCTCAGGAAGAGGCTTTGGAGGAGCCAGAAGAAGAACTGCAGCCTCATGCATTAGATGTACGTCTCAAGGTCTCCTTTTCCCAGGAAAAGGAATGTGAGTCACTGAGTCAATGAAGTACATTATAAACACACCCCCTTTTCACCCCTCCTTGATTAATTTTCTCATGTTAGATTTCAGTGGGCGATAGACCAGCCTAAAGTATAAGTCAGCCTTCAGGAGCTCCTCATCCCTCCCAATGGCAAAAGACCCCTTTCCTTTCTGCCACAGGGCAAGGAAACAACACAGAAGCACTCAGAGGCATCTCGAGGTGCTGCTTGGAGGTGAAACCAGCCACCACATGGCTTGCTCGAGTCCTGTGTGGCATACTGGGCTAGAGAGAAGAACACTTGGTCTGGCCCACCACAGCTGCTCTTCTACGCTTACTACATCTCCTAGAAGCAGCCAGATACTGCTGACAGTCATAGGAGCTGTTATATAGTATTGGTTGTATTCTCTGTTGCACATAGAGTATTTTTGGAACCGACTACAGACTTCTGTATGAATTCAACCACTGCAACCACCACAGCAGACAACTCCCAGGTGTTCTGCATAACAGCAAATCCCATGCACAACGAGCTCAACTAGACTTGTTTTCAAATTCACTTTAAATTTCATCTATTCCAGTCCTCCAGTGACAGTGTAGCTTAGAGCACTGGGCTCAGTTCACATCACCTGGGTCTGCTGTACAGCCCCCCCAAAAAGCCTCCTTTTTTTTTTTTGAGAAGATTTGTGAATTACTTCAATAGAAAAAAAAATAATGTTTTCTGCAGTTCATTTTTTAAACTGAAGGATAACCTCAAACTGCTATAATGTTTTCTGCAGTTCATTTTTTAAACTAAAGGATAACCTCAAACTGCTCACACACTTTTTTTTTTTTGAGAAGATTTGTGAATTACTTCAATAGAAAAAAAAATAATGTTTTCTGCAGTTCATTTTTTAAACTGAAGGATAACCTCAAACTGCTCACACACACTAATAAATAGTCTTTTTTTGCACAGTTTTAACTTAAAGAAAAAGGAATTTCCACACAATTAGAGGCGGCTATAAGCCAACACTTACTATTTTAGAGGGGGGAAAAAAGCTAACTTACAAAACATTTCAGAAAGCAGCACTTTCTGGCACTAAGCACATCATAACCCTTCCTAAGTAGCAATACAAGTTGTAGAGCAAGCATTTTATGTCAGTTTTGAATGTCGCATTTTAAAAATAAGAAACATTAGTGCGGAAAGTCTATATTCAGTTAACTCAGACGTATGGAAAAAGCTTTTCCTGAGTCACTAAGCCTCGTCTCCTACTGCCACAGCCAAGCCCCCGATATAAAGTTCCCCAGTTTATCCCCAAGAGCCAGTCAGGGGTCTTGCTCCCACTCCTCCCATTTGAAGGTTGTTCTAGAACCTCACTCTTCGGGAAGGAACTGTCTGAATTCCAGCTTAAGTTTCTTTGTGCCAGTTTATATCCGTTTGTTCTTGTGCCAACATTGTTCTTTAGGTTAAATAGCTCCTCTCCCTTTCTAGTGTTTATATCGCTGCTGTATTCGCAGATTGCAATTGTATCCCCTCTCAGGCCTCATTTGTTAGGCTAGACAAGCCAGGCTTTCCTTGTCTCGCCCAGAAAAATGGTCATTTCTCTTCCCCAGCCCCTCTTTGCAGGGGCATGCCTGACCCATGCCTGGTACTCCCTAGGAGCTCTCACCCATCCCACCACCCCTCCTGCCCATGCCCTGGCCTAACATGCTCCACCATCGCTTGGCAGGCGACGAGCTAACACATCCAGCACATCTCCTGCTCTGCTGTCCAAGCTCCTTGCTCACAGCAGGGAACAAGGGCAAAACCTCATCTTTCTTCTACTAGCCAGGGGTGCACATATGGTGCAGTTTGTTTTCAGCACAGATGATTTGTTCAGGTGTGACAGCACAACCCATAGATCTACCACCTGACAGGTGACGGAGATGCAATCAGTTGATTACCTACCAACTATCAGGATTCATTTTCGTTTTTCACAGCCTCCACTAAAAAAAAAAAATAATCCTTGCAGTAGACAACCTCAAGCACTCACATTCCTTCCTAACTCACTCCCCAAGTCACCACTCTCTTTCTTCAGCTCAAACCCTGCAGCAGCCCTCTCTACGTTCCTCAGGCATTTCCTAAGGAAGCCACCGTTCCCCCTGACCAAGGGCACAGGAGAGTCCACCCAACGCCCCACCAAAAATGACCATTTTTGTCACTGTTCCTGACTTAGCTGCAGAACTGAGAAACAAAAGAAATGATCCAGGCTTTCAAGTCACATACCCCCTTTCCCAAGAACTGATTCAAACATTGTTGTGATCCACTGCTTAGATGCCTCCTTCACCAGGAAGGACATATTCACTAGTGCTGCTTCAGAGCCAAGAATCCTCCTCCTTGTTACAACCAAGTCATGTATTCTTCCTAATACACAATAAAACTATTCTTCCTCCCAAAGAGTCCTCTGCAAACCTCAATCTCCCCTAAGTGGCCAAAAAAACCCAAAATACAAGACAGAAAGTATTCCATCAAACACGCATCGCTGTAAAGGAAGCACAAAAATACCCACACTCAGCATGGCTGTTCTAGGCAAGGAAGTTAATCAGCCAAGATTTTGTCCCAAGGTCACCATAAGAGGATGTCTCTCCCTGTAAGTGCCAGGACATCTGCACGCTTATTTTAACCAAATGTAATTATACAGGCAGAAAATAGTTTCAAACACAAGACAGACAACTCGTTCAAGCTTCCAGAGAGTACCAGAGCATGAGACGGCAGGATGAGGAGGTGTCAGACCTAGAACGAGCTGGAGGAATGCAATG